ATTGCTTTCTTTGTTTCCTTGGTATTGAGGTTATATTTATCGCAGATTTCCTTGTCGATGAAATCTTCAGTTACCCCCGAGTCGAGCATTGCATATAGTGTTGTTTCTTTGTGTTTTTCATTGTATCTCTTCGTCTTGATCATCACATGATCTCCGTCTTCTTCTCCTCTTTGTATGTGTAGTGCCAGGTAGTAGTTTGCTAATTTGATAGATTTTCCAGGTCTACATCTTGGGTCTCCCGGACTACCGTTGTCTGGGGACCCTTGTCATTTTCCGCCGGTAAATCTTCTGCTATCATCTTGCGAATGTTGCTACCTTTTTTGCGCTTATAAGCGATTGTTTCTAGCAGCTCTGGTATCTTGGTATCCCCTGTCTGTTCAGCTCCTGCATTCTTGTATCCGCTGTCCTGCTTTTCCACACCTCAAGCAGAGTTTCCCATTCATTCTTCTAGTGTACTCTTCTTTTGACAAGTTCAGAGCTGGTCCTGTTCTTGATTTGTCCAACTCCATTGGTTCGCCTAGCGGTAATACTCAGCTTTCACCTTGAGCTACTTGCAGTTTGAAGGTTCTGTCCACGTTCCTGGATGACTGGGCCATCCTGTGTGCTATAGAGTGTTCTGAGTTATTTCGAACGATGTTTAGTTTACTTTCCTTATCGATCACCCATCTTGCAAATCGTTCAGCTGTTGTGTAATGCGAGTTGGAGATTCCCCATGCTTCTCCGAGTCTCTCACCACAGTTTCTTAAGAGGATGATGTAGAGGGTAGCATCATCGAACTCTGCCTCATATTCCAATAGTCAGCATTCGTTCCCATATGCCGAAAAGGTCTGTTTTCCTTATTGGAGTTTCTCCAGCTTTCATCTTGCTGTCTCCTTAGCATTGGGATCTCTGAATTATTCGAAGAGTGTCGCCTTGAATTCCTCATATGTGACCCAGTCTCTTTGCTTTCTTCCATCTTGGAAGGGCATGATCCATTGTCCCACGAGTCCTCTTAGTAGAGATTCTACGTAGGGAAACTTGATCTCATCATGGTGTTCTCCATAACCCTTCACTGTGAAATATCCTTCACATTGTGCTAGAAATATTCGTAGTTTGTCTTCTGCCCCTTCGTACGTATCAGGTTCTTTTTTCTTTTGATCATAAGATATTTCCTTTTCCTGTATTTTGTGTTGCAGCTAGAAATGACTGAAAATAATTCTCAGTCATTCCAAGTATGCTAGTGCTTGGTGCCGGGATGGCTCAGGCCAGTAGTCCAGGTACTGCTGATCCCAACATTCTTTCAGGTCGTGGAGTTCCTATAGGAGAGCTATAGACTAGTGATCCTTTCTCTGAGGTTACTGGACTTGCTGCTCTTGAGGGCTGTGCTGAAACGTGACCTCAGGCATCACTAAATCACACTAAGTTAAGATTTTGATCATCGATATCGATATCGCCTTCCCTGTCTGGGTTGCAAGATGCCATCTTGTATCGTTTGGTATCGTACTAGGTGATGCTTTGTAATGTAACGATTCCTCTTTGGATGGTTAATTCTTAGCAACAGGGAATGATACTTCTCTTCTTCTTCTTTTTCTTTCCTTTGTCTTACGATAGTACTAGGCCTCTGCCTACGTTACTGATAGTATAAGACCTTTGTGTTCTATTAGGAACACCTATCATAAGCTTTCTCTAACTCTTCTTTCGTGAAGAGCTTTTCTTGGCGTAACAATAAAGGTTGCAATAATGATAAAGATTGTAAAGGTGTTTTATATTTGTTAAAGTAATCAGTAGGAAAAGTACTTAGAATTCAATCTAATTTTATTTAAACTCGTACTACCAACACTGGCATATGACGAGCCCCCACCGGTACAGGGATACTGCTAACCAGTATACTACTAATTCTAAGCTAACTAAGTCTACGGCCCCACACCTACCATCCCCGTATCATGCTTGCACAGAAACTAATTACAAGGCCATCCAACAACCCAGCGCCCGCCCCGGTCCAAGTCCGTAGCCCCTCTGGTATGAAGCCAACCAGCACTAAGCGTAGCCAAAACCGAGCAAAAGATCAACCCAACCAGGTTCCTCATCCGAAAAACATAAAATACTACCACCCGGTCTAAACACCATCCCGCGAAATCCCCACCACAGTAGAAAACCAATAAAAACTAAACTAAACCTACAGGCGATACAATAGCAGGAAGGAGGTAACTAATATGTCTACCTCTCGTACCCACATGCCAGGCCGTCGACCCTATGAACCCACTTTGCCAGTTGCCTCCGAAGAACGTACTGGTGAGGAGGACCTGTACCCACTGCCTGTCCTCCAAACAAAACAACATTTAAACAAAAGAAATACATAGAGGTGGTGACAGACCACAAAGATCAGTGGGGCCTATCTCCCACCTGTAGTGTCATGCCTCCTCCTGCCAAACCCATAGCCAAACCTAAAAAACCAAACAAACCCCACAAAGCCCAGCACGCAACACTCAAACAAGTCCAACCAGGTGGTCGCAACCCACTATCTGCACAGGTGGCCATCAGCCAGCCAGTCCATCGGGGAGCTTTACAGCACTCAGCAGCTTTGCCTAACAGCCCAAGTCTGACTGGAAACACTTAATTATGCCTCACCCAACCTCAAGCAGGCCTGATCAGTGCTCGCAGGTGCCTCTCCCCCCCCAGTCAGCCTCCCCCAAGCCCTACACACTGGACGCTACAAAGCCCATCCAGCCCTCCAGCCCCTCAGACAGATCAACCATCCGATAGCTATCGGACAGCCTGTACCTAGCTCCATCAGGCAGCCACTGATCTTGGTCACACCAACAGAGCCCCAACCTCCAGCACCTTGTAGCCGAGGAGGACCCACTAGCTATAGCCAGGAGCCACAAAGGAGGCAATACCAATACTCGAAGGCACTGGCACCAGCCACACCATCAAATCCAGTTGAACCGAAGTCCAACCAAGCTGGGAAAGAGTAGGCAGAGCCAGCCGAAGCCAGGCCCACAGGTCCAGCAACAAGTACAAACCGAACAACGGTCAAGAGGCACCGCCAACCAATGCGACATGAAGGGGGAGTGCATACGAACAGGAGCAGACAAACAGAAGGTAGGCCCTACTTGCAATAGGTGAAGCCGCCAACCACAATCCATAACTGAACCACCCAAACACACAGACAACACGAGTGTCTGGCACCCAATCGTCCCACACCACTCCAGGCAGAAATGAAAAACCACTGCAGAGGGTAAGATTTTTTAGGATCAAAGCCACCCCCACCGAGGTGAGGAGGAGATACCTAACTGAATCATCGTAAATGCCGCAAGGACAAAACTCCAAGGGAATGGTGATAAACAATATCGTAGGATTCCAACCGTAGAAACAAAATTGTAACGTGGAGGGGCCAGGCAGGTACTGCCCTGCCACCCGAGGAATGATGCGGCCGGCATAATGAGTTGAACTTGGGATGGTCATCAGTTTAACCTAAGGGCATTTTGTATCAAGAGAACTAAGGACTCCATTAAAGCCCAACAAGAAACATGAGCTGGCCCAAAGAATAACACGGGTGATCCCCCGAAATACAATATTCAATCCCCCCAATCGAACGCGAAACCTGTGAGTAGACAATAGACAGGAAGCCAAAGACATTTTACCGAAAGGGGCTTGTAAGCAACCATGATGAAGTGCTCGAAGTGACAGTATCATGAGAAACCATCAGGCAACAAAACAAGAAGTAAGCAAGTAATCCGCCACGCAACGTAAGCAGACCTCAATACCAAGAACACTAGGAACTACTGCACAAACTGAGATATCTCCCCCAGAATCCAAGGCATCAAGGCCCACCATAGGTGCGAAAGAAACACTCGGGGCGAAGCGATAGCAAGGATGAGGAAAAGTACTTAGAACAAAACATCAAGAACCTATCCACCTAGGCCGCATCAGCCTCCTTTTATGGTGTTCTTCCTGCCCGTAGTCATGTGACCCAAAGTGGTCACATGCTCAAATACCATGACGTCATAGTGAGGTCATGTTTAAACACTCATAAACCAATCATAACGCAATAAATAAGTCATATGACTCGAATGAGTCATATGCGCAAAACCCATAACCTCATAATGAGGTCATGTGCTAATCCCAAATCATATGCGCAAGGCATTCCTGCAAGGCATACTTGCAAGGCATACTTGCCAGGTGCATGTCCCATGACTCATATTTGAGCCATGTGCGAAGCATAACAAATCCCAACATAACAAATCATATGACTCGAATGAGTCATATGTCCAAAACAATAACATACCTGTGACTCATAACCATGCGTCATGTGAAAACCTTTTCCTTACCAAGCCACATTCATGACACTAACCATCAAACAGCGTAAAGAGTTGATGAGGAGGAGAGAAAGTTGCATGGGATTGTAATTCTCAGTTGGCCCTCAAAGTCCCCCGATTTAAATCTGATAGAATCAATCTGGAGCTACCATAAAGACGAGATTTCTATATGGAACTTTGTTGGAGCGAGCTGGAATGCTGTAAATGGGGCAAAAGATATCTTAATTAGCACCTGGGAAGAGTTGGCACAAAAGGTTATTGATAACAAGTATCACGCATTTCACGAAAAACTCCAGAGAGTTATTCTTCACAATGGTAATAATAATTTCAATGGATAGGTAGAGAATAGACCTCCTTGTCAGCTGTGCCAGCTCTAATAAGGCAATAGTGAGGTTGTAAATATGCGTGTTTCTTATCATGGTTGAAGCTCCATCTGTAACGGATATATGACCAACCGGTATTAAGTAGGTCCGGAATAGGCATAGTATCCATTCGTCAATCACTTCCAAAATCAGGTGCCCGGCTTCAACTCGGCCGCGCGAGTATTAATTTTTCTCCATGGCAACCATCCTGTTGCTACCACTTTGAAACGGAAGGGACATGCCGAACGGCCCTTTTCACAGCAACCATTTCGCAAAGGAAGGAAAAGGTCATTTGTATGGGCCAACGGAAAGGAACCATTTCATCCGAACAGTCCCCCACTTTTTCCCATCTGCTTATTGTCACAGTAAACAAGCCCATCACAACGATAGCGATCCCGAATTCTTGATTGCGAAATCCCCCTATTGCTCACTGCTCGGGAGCCTCGGCCACTGGTTGTCACGTTCCATTCCCAAGTGCCGGACCGTGTTTTGGAGAAACTCGTTTTCCTCCTCCTGTGCCTGGCTTGGCACAGCGGTCACTTCCTACCGACAAATTACCACTGGTACACCTACTCTCCAAGATCAACACGCCTTGCTCCTGCATTTCATCAACCTGACAGGCGAACATCCAGAAATCACTCTCCAATTTGTACTGCAAATAGGGTGAAAGGGCTAAGAAGAGGTTGGTTAAGTGGAAGGTGAATACAGGAAAAAAAAAAAAAAACCTCCTGGATATACAGATTGATTACACGCCTCGTTCCATCTAATCACTTGCCCTCAGTCTCGAGCCAATTGTTTCGCACTCGCTCGCAGACGCTTAGCTTCTACGGTATCATACTTCCCCAGAACCTCGCCTTCACTCTTCACCCTTCCTCCTTCTCCATTCTGCAGCCCGGCCTTCTACCTCATTTCTCATTTCCGCCATGAGAGCATAGGAACGTCATTTCCTCATAACATCCAGAAAATCAAATGTTTACAGCAACACGAAACTTTTTCAGACGCAACCGCAGGAACTTTGCTATCGGCGTCGGTCTTGCCGGCGCTGGCTACCTTGTCACCAATTATGTCTTATCGAAGCTCTCGGATGCCCGAGAGCGCATGTCCAGTGACCGGATAGCCCGTGAAAAGTGATGTTTCCCCCTTTTCCCTTGACGACAATTCCATTCGCCAATACTAACGGAGGTGGGAGTGAAGCCTTCGCCGGCGGTTTGAACAAAATCAGGAGGATTGCACATTCACCGTGCAAGCGCTACTCCCTACGGCTACACAATTGATTCTCGAGGAGTTGCCCGTTGAGAAACTGACCCAGGAGCTACAGCAGAAGAAGGCTGCGCGAATCGCGAAGAGCGGAACTCTTGCAGGAACTGGCATACCGACTGATGCGGCATCCGAGGCTTCGACGGCTATTACTGCGTCCGGAGGTAAGGACGACGATGCGCAATCGGTGCAATCCTTCGCCTCGGAGTCGTACGTGATGCCGCAGAGAGAAGGCGAGGAGAAGCCGGCAAAGAAGTCAAGGGTGAAGCTTTGGGACGAGATCAAGATTAGCTGTAGGTTTTCCACAAAGTACCTACACCCATTCTCAAGCCGCAGATTAATGGGATTGCGCCTAATCTAGCTTTATCACGGTCCTTCACTCTGCTGTACACCCTCACCCTCCTTAATTTACTGACCAGAGTCCAACTCAACCTCCTCGGCCGTAAAAACTACCTATCCTCCGTAGTCACCTTATCGGCCCGCGATGGCGAGCCCACAATTCGCCTCGAAGATCATGAGACCAGAGGTTATGGAACGGACATGGCAACTAACCAGCAATACCTGACCTTTTCTTGGTGGTTACTGAACCAGGGGTGGCGACGACTGCTTCAGAAGGTCGATCAAGCTGTTCGGGAGGTTTCCGCCTCGTATGTTTTTTTTTTTCCTTTTTTTTCCTTTCTTTTTCACTTACTCCTCGCATTCAATGCATGACAGGGGGCAGCTCTACTACGATGATTGAAGGTTGAAATAAAAACTGACAAGCCCGGATCTAAAGATGGACAGCAAGGGACACCATCTCACTAGGGCAAATGAAACAGTTAATCATCGAGACCCGGAAGATCATCGAGGCGGAGAGCGGACCCAGGTAAACAAGCCCAATTTCTCCCATCTTGCATCCCAATCGTAATCACGATAGCTGCTCCCCCACGTTGGAGACCCATCCCAAAATCCCCATCTAGGAAGCTAACCACACAAGACCCACCAGTATCTGGCTTCCATATCTCCTCCCCCCACGCTCTGACGAAGCCATAGTCTTGGCCGAATCCGGAATCGCCGCAACCCCCGAGGGCGAAGACCTTGACATCGTCTCCCCATCTCTCCGCCGCCTCCTGGATGAGACTTCGGACCTCATAGACTCTCCCAACTCCTCGGCCGTGATGCGCAAAATGCTGGACGCTGGCTTCGACTTCTTGCTGGAGAAACTCGCTGATGGAGCGTTCAAGCAAAAGGACATGGCGCTGCCGCCCGTCATAACGGCAGAGAACCGCATCACGCCTATGCGCGATGGTGACGAAGAGAGGGCTTTGATGGAGAGTGATGCTGCGACGACAAAGTTTGCCAGTGTGCTCGCTGTGCTCACGAGACTGGGGCATTTGATTGGGAGTGGAGTGCCGAATGAGTACTTGCAGGTATGTTTTCTCTCCCTTTCCTCTCCTCCCGATTTTATCCCACGCCTGCCTCGATCCGTTCGTCCCACGCCAGACAACACTGCAGTGTTTTTATTGTACAACAAGGCTATGTGTGAGGTCTTGGTAGGCTCAACGTTGCTAACGAATTATGATTGGGTAGGTTATTGAACAACAAAAGGAGTTAGAAGCTTTCAGCGCTTTGGTATATTCGTCAAATTTTGAATTCATTGCCGAGGGGGACGACAGTCCTGCGTCTTGGTTTTGAGACACCTTTCTTTTCCTTTTGCTCTATAATTCTCTAAATACTCCCCCCCGTTCTTCTGAAGACCCATTCCCGCGCCTTGAGGTACTGGTATTACGTATCGTATCAATAGTTGCAAATGCAAGGCTTTCCTTTCTCTCTCCGTTCCTCTCAATTCAGAGAAATCGTTTCCCCAGGCTGTCTTTCTTTTCAAAGAAGTCGGCTGCATTATCTCCCTACAAAAAAGGGCCAAGCGCGCAAATGGAACCAAGGGAACCCTAGACTATAGAACAAAGCCGGACTCTACAAAAAAAAAAAAAAAAAGGGAGGGTGGGGAAGGAAAAGAAAGGAAGAGAAAGAAATAAGATACCAAGGAAATAGACCCTTGAAGCGAGGGGGAAAAAAAGGAAAAAAAGATCATTAACCGCTCATTGATCCCATTTTTGCCTACGTTGACTTTTGACTAAAAGAGAATAAACCCAATAAAAATATAAACCCAGTGGCTGGCCATCGTGTCTTCGTGCGCATGCGTCATACCGGCAGCCTTGCGTTGCATTAGAGTGAGCATCGTATCGTTTGGCCTTTTACAACGTCTTATCAGCAGAGATAACATCAGCCTTTGCACGGAGGTTAGAGGATGCAGCGTTGGCACGGCCAGTAAATTGCTTGGCAAAGATAGGCTGGAGGAATGAACGGAAGATAAGTTGAGCACCACTGTTTTTCCAGGGAATCAATTGTTAGCATTAAAACAGGGCCGAACACAAAAAGAGAACTGCGTTCCGCAGCGAATATTGTGGGGAAGCATACCCGAATTGAGGGAGACCAAGCCACATTATACAAGCAAACTTGAAGACGTAATAGAATGGTAGCCAGTAGGTAACAGAGATAGCAGACTCAATCACACTGAATAATGCAAATACAACCCAGTAACTAATGCGGCATCAGGGTTAGAAGCAAGGTACTTTAACTATGGCAGGAAAAAAGGAGGATCAACACCTACGTAAGCCATTGTGTATCGTCAACCTTGGTGAGGGTGAAGAGTGCGTTGAGTGAGTAATAACCGGGAATGAGGAACCCGGCGAGATTTGTCAAGAGTTGGCCGCCATAGTTGATGAAGATCATAAAAAAGTATACGAATCCAAGTCCGAGGACAACATATACTTTAGGAGCACCTGAAGGGATAAGAGCATAACTGTGAGCCAAATTTGATAGAACAAGACGATTTAGTCTCTCTACAGTAACATACCGGTTTGTTTCTCGAGATTGTTAAGAGCAGGGTATTTCGAGAGCTACGTCAGGCCAGATAGATAAGCAAAACCATACACCAAGGGAGTTGGGGTGTTGAGGGGTCGAGCAGGGGGTCACGAGGAAAGCTTGTCGAGAAGGAGAACAAACCTCTTTATCGAGCTGAGAGACGAGATTTTGGGCCTTATCTTGGAAAGACATGTCGAATATGGTTGTCGTAAGAAGGGGGAGCCAGACACAGGAGTGGGGGATGATGGGTAACGGTAAAGTTGCAGAATTAGGCTTCAGCGGAAGGGTAAGTTCCAACGGGAGCGCGTATAATGAGAATGGAGGGAGATGAGAAGAATCGGGAAGAGGAGAGAGATAAAGGAAGGAAAGGGAGAGCTGTGAGATTTAAGTGGGAAGAAGGAAGAGGAAGAGGAAAGAGGAGAGAAGATGGATGGGTGGGCGATATCGGGGAGGGACGGCTCTGATGATGCTGAGGGTGCAAAAAAGTTATTGTGGGCAGTAAAGGCAGTACCGGTACTCGTAGAGTAGGCTAAGTACAGTGGAGAGGTGACGGTCCCCTTCTAACTTGGATAAGGGAATATGGTAGCTTGGTCCGGGATAGAAAGGAAAGGCAGAGAGAATGGAATGGGGAGGATCCGGTCTGAATGCCCTAGGCGGTAATCCTGGATTGACAGGGTGGCCTTGGAGTCGGGGAGAGTTAGTTGAGGAGTTCGTTGACCAACTCTACTGGGCGAGTATCATAATAGGTGTTATTTATTTTACCGTACTTTATTTTTTCCTATTGAGCTACGGGAAATTTTCTCTTGATGCAGCGAGGCGGAGAGGGAAGAAAAATAAAATAAAAAGATGGTGAGTTGCTTGCTTGCCTGCTTCACTAAAGTTGGATCCTGCTTCACGAGTTGTTTTCTCCTGCTTGCTGTTGCTGGCATGTCGGTGGCTTGCGTTGTTGATGCAATGCCGACCGACACCCAGCGAATTACGTCAATTTTTGGTAACTGAGGTACATATCGTACCGTTGTCAAGCACGATGCGAGTATCTGGTCTACCCTGTGACGGTGTACGGTACCGTGGTCTAACGGCGGTCAAATTTGTTTCGAACAGCTATCACCCTTACCGGTAGATAATAAAAGGAAGTACGATATCATACTCGTACCGTATATGGTATTTGTGCCCTTGTGATGGCCTCGAGGGTGCGCCTGAATCACGCCGATTCCTGGTGATATCCTGCCCTATTTTTCCCCCAACCGGAACGAGCAAAAGAGCCATCCTCGAGCCGAAATGAGATACTTATATAAGCAAGCAAGATATTGTGTCCGTGCGGCGAAAAACTGATGCCAGTATTATTATTATGATGCCCATTACAGGTATCAAACCTGCCAGCTTCTTCCCAAAAATAAAATATAATTCCCCTTCCAGTATTCCCGATTTCCGGGCCTTGTGATAGGTGCTTAACTTGGATGCTAAGTTACTGTAAAGGGCTTTCTTCTCTTCACCTCTTTCCCATCGTAGGGACGGACAATAAAGTAATCGGAACATGACTAAGCACCGAAAACACTCCGTTACAAGTTTGAAACCCTGGCGTTGTCCGGGCGACAACCCATCTCCAAAAACAACCTTTCTGTGCTCGCCTTCTCTGGCCTCACGAAAGCAGAAGCAGAAGCAGAAGAGAAAAACAACCTGCTCGCTTTGCGTGCCTTGGCCACCATAACAACACGTCCCCTCGATAAACACCAAAGAATTCTCAACTTTTCTGGCCATTCTTCTCATCTCTTCCAGTTCTGTCAACTGCGTTGTAGCGTTATCAGGTAATCTCTTGTGTGGATATCTCATCCTTCCATTTCGCGCCCTCTTGTCAACACTTTACCTCGACCTATCCTGACGTGAGGGATCAACATCACAACAACAACCGTTTACTTTCGTCTTGACAACCACCTCCACACATACTGCGAAACAACAACTGCCACCCCTCCTCCCACTGTTGCCCCACCAACTTCATCAGCAACATCTCTCTGGTCCTTTTTGGCTATGGAGGATTCTTCTGGATCCCGTTCGCCTTTGCCTCATGGTAATTCCTCATTTTATTTTTATTTTTGATGGTTTCCTTTGTTCCTCCCTGATTATTGAATCCCCCGCTCCATGAATCATTCATTCCCTTATTCGTTCTCGTGTTGTATCTGTTTCTTTCAATCGGCAACAAACTTATGGTTTGAATTCGTTTCTCACATTCTTCGTCATCGAAGGCCCCAATTCCTCTGGACATTCTCAGACTGTACGCTCTAGGTCCCGTTCGATTGCCTCCAACTCAAGCACTCCCCATCCTAATGCTCATCCCCGGATTGCCTCTGGGATGCCACAATACAACCAGGAGCCGTACAACAGCGAGAACCATCCAATGACCCACCCATCTCTGCTTGTCATGACCCACAACCAGATAACTGAAATACAACCCCCCATTGGCACCTCCCTCGAGGTCTCTCCACAGACAAACACTGCCTTTCCGATCGATCCAGCTCTTGGAGGAAGCCCCCCGGAACAGGCCCCCCTGCCTGAGCTTAGATCCCCAACCACTCCGGTCTCAGAAATTCCAAACTTTAGCCAGGATCGTGTGCCCAAGGATGAAGAGAGCCGTGAGTTTGATTCTGGGATGATTGTTGACGAGGAAGAAGAGAATGCAGGTCCCTCGTCTGGGAGGAATTCAAAACGGGGGTCTGCGATCGTTGAGGACAGTGATGCCGAACTTCGTCGGCTAGCTGAGGAAAACAAAACAGTCCCATTGGATGAGCTCGCTAGGAGGGTCAGAAATGATGAGAACACACCGTCCGCCGAAAAGACAAGGCAGGTTTACGGCCTGGGATGGTATGTTTCCCCTTGCCCACTCCGCGGTTACTTTATCGGTCCTATAAGTCCGATAGCAGGCCTTCAAGCCCTTTGCCCCTGTTGTAGCTACCTTCTGTACCCTTGGAGCTCCGATTTACGCACATTGGAAGCTAACTCCATTCGTCTAGGTTGCAAAAGAACTGCGAGAGAGTCCCGGATGCCTCAGTCGCCGTCCCTCGCAATCGTGTATATGCCCGCTACGTTGGTATCTGTGCTAATGAACGCATTAAACCTTTGAACCCTGCGTCTTTTGGAAAGCTGGTCCGTCTCATGTTTCCTGAAATAAAGACACGCAGACTTGGAGTCCGTGGACAATCCAAATACCATTACTGTGGTATTCGCCTCGCAGGCGAGCAGTCATCCCCCAAAGTGTTGCAAGGTTCAGGTTCCGCCTCAGGATCGGAACCACCCGCGCAAGCGGCTGGGGATGATCATCTGCAAGTCTTCAACCCTTCTGCTCCTTTGCTGTCTAAGTTACTGACAGATAGCAGAATGAGTAACGGCTCGGCTCCGCCCTTCAGTAGTAACTCCGTACAAAAAACAATTCAAAACAGCATCAAAAATTCTTCGTATAAAGCTTCCAGCATTTCTATCAATGAAATTGTCATCATTCCTGCAAAACGAGTTATACTTCTCCCGTAATGAAGCAGATAACCTATCATCAAATGAAATCCTTAAACTCCCCGACATAGACCTATACGCACCGCCCGGAACAGACCCTGACATATCAGCTACTCTCACAGCTATCTACAGATCTCATTGTACCTCGCTCATAGAATGTGTTCGATATATGCGGCTAAAACAGTTTCATCAGCTTTTCATTTCCTTTCACGGCACACTGACCACTCCTGTCCAAAAGCTCCTAGGCGAACCCTCGATTGCTTCCTGGATTCGAGAGTCTGACTGGGTCATGTACAAGGTTGATTGGATCCATTGCCTGTACTCGTTATTGACTATGCTCACATTTTCTCTAGGAAATGATAAGACTGCTTTCACCATTAGCATTGCAAGTGGTGCCTCCATTCGTTGTGACTGCTCTTCGACATCTTTCTACAAACCTAACGTCCCACATCTCGATGACATTTGCTGTCCAACCCCAGCATGTCATCGATGCAAAGATCGTGCCATCTAGCATATTTTCCAGTCTCTTAGACCGATTGCTGCGCGTAAACGACGCCGCGCACGCAGCAGCTAGGTTTCTCGGAAATCCTCCCGATAGAGAGCAAATGGTCAAAGACTGGAAAGACTATGTCAACGCACAAACAATCGTGGACCGTGAATTGCCCTGTGGCTCTGCAACAGTGAGAGAAATCTTGCAAACTGAGGTTATCACCCTATTACAGCCACCTTCGACATCTGTGAATGGAATCCCCGAAGTAGAAGATGGCTCAGCATCCACGGAAAGTGTCCTAGACCGGTGGACACAATTCCTAACTTACCTCCCTCACCGATTCCCGGGAACAGACCCACGACTTTTCAACTTGTGCCTTGGTGCCGCAGCATCTGCGGCCCTACGGGATTTAACAACCAATGGTGCTGTATCATTCGGCAGCTGGTGGGTCGTCCGTTGCTGGGTAGACGAATGGATGGGGTGGCTGGCCGAGCGAGGCGGATTCCTTCGCCATTCTTCGGAATCATCGATACACATTGGTGGCGGTCATGTAGGTGCTGAGGAGGAACGTGTCTCTGTCGAGGCGGACTTGATCGATAATGGGGACGAGCTTGGTCACGATGATAGTGGTATATCTTTACGAGGAGGGGAGGAACCAATACATCTTCTGGATGAGGTAGGGGATGATCGGGATAATAGGATGGTCACTATCAAGTTTAGCAAGTAATAGTCACGGTATACTCGCCTTGGTGGTGTTCCTTTCCTTATGATACCTTCTGATCGATTTATTTGCTTTCGGCTTTATATATCTTTAATTGTTGAATTTTTGTTGTCGTGTTTTGTTTATTTTCTCTTTCTTTCGTATGGTAGCTACTGAAGGGTCTGGAAGCAAGTCCCCCTCCTGACCGAATTATTCATTTTTAATGAAGGCGTGATGATCGGTTACTTTCTTGTATATATCGGGTTAAAATGTTTTTTTTTTCTATTCCTTTTTTCCTTTTTCTTTCTTTTACTACAGTGAAAGGGTGTTTTTTTGAGGTTTTTTTTTATTCTTGCTTAATTTCCTTTTTTGCGCATCATCGTTTCATTTTTATCACTGGCTATTTCTTTCTCCTGCTCCTTCAGCTTTCTTCGGTTCTTTCCTTTTTTATAAAGAGGGGTTGTCGGAGTACATGTAAGTTAACATCTCCTTTCTTTCGCTCTCTCGCTCTCTCGAAGCTACTGTGTCCTAAGTTAGACCTCTGAAAGTTGGTCTCAGTTATCGTGTTGCATATGTACCCGAGTAAAGAATTGTTGGCTACCTTGACATGGGATATTGTACTTGTAAAGTTGAAGCTCAAACTTAGGGAAAACGCTAGTTTACCATACAAAATCACTAGCAGGTATGCCAAGACTAATGTGCTGACCACAACTCTCTTGACAGTTCTTCAGCCAGCTTAGACACGGTTTTGAAAGGTCTGAAAGTAAAATCCAGAGTTTTTTTTTTCGTATATAGGTGAATGTTTGGTTTGGATTGCTTCACTAGATCAGCAGTTGGAAGGTCGTGAACACATGGGTGTCTTGGGTGGAAAGCCCTTGCACTACTGATCATTTTTGGCACTATCAAACCACATCGAGTGATATAGGGTGATGAGATCAGGAGACAAGCTCCCTTGACAGTTTTTTTAGAATGCTTCGAGGGCGTTCCGTAATCCCGTAGAATCCTCCCGCAAGCAGGGCCTCCTTCAGCACTGCCAACCAAGCACCATTCGTTAGTGGGCGGTGCGCCCAACAGGACCCTTGCTCCAATATTTTTCAATGGCTCCCCTTTTGCCGGTGCAGGAGCCTCACAGAGCCAATACGATTCCCGTTGTATCTTTCTCGTACAGAAGTGCTGCTTTTCCAGATGGCTCAAGGCATTCACTGGGACGTGGCAGGCACCGCATCTAGACTCAAAGATGCTAATGTAGTTAAAGGGTGGGTATTCCCCCATAGCTATCGCCTTCACTGACTTCTAGGCACCCGTATTGGCTAGCTGATACCTGGTATAGTATGTCGGTACCCCGACAGCGTTCGGGTGGCCCTTTAACCAAATGGCCAAGCCATCCTCCGCTCTTTCCACACACCCTCCCCCCTCAGCCGTTCTTTCGGCGGGAACCAATGGCCTGTGAAATACTGGGGTATTCGCTCTTGAAGGGAGGGGCAGATCTACGAGCGCGGCCGATAGATATATTCGTCACGTGAAGTCAGATAAGCAAAAGTATCATGTTGCAACCAATTTGTAAAGACTAGGAGATATCGTCATTGCCAACAAAATAGAAAAAAGTTGAATGTGCATACTGGTTATTGTCACCGGAAAGACTCTACTTGCCTATTGAGCCAATTCTGAAGCCAAACTTTTCTCTGATTTCAAGCTATAATCTTCCAATTTATCAATATGGGCTGAACAAGAGAAGCAACAGAGATATCTCTAGAACTTCAATGTGCAATCCTCATCCTCCATATTTTTACCGATAAAACCTGGATTGAGATTTCACAATGCTTGAAAGTTCATCCTGATTCTGCATGGAAAATTTGTCAAAAGGCAAAGGTAATTGTTTACAATCTAGTATAGTATCTGTAAACTAAAATTACCTTATAATTAGGAAAGAACAAGTCACCTGACTGACATTCAAGATCTCTACACTGTTCTTAAGAGTCTTGACTCTCCTGGCTATCCCAAAGTCATGTCTAAAGGTTCAGAAATGTTGATTGCTCTCAAGAAAGTATCCCAAGGTCACGAACATGGCTTAACGAGGAAAGGGTTTTCACGTGACGCATAGTTATGAGTCACAGGTATGTTATTGTTTTGCACATATGACCTATTCGGGTTATATGATTTGTTATGTGTGGGATTTGTGATGCTTTCGCACATGGCTCAAGTATGAGTCATGGGACATGCACCTGACAAGTATGCCTTGCGAGTGTGCCTTACAGGTAAGCCTTGTGCATATGATTTATGTTTCGCACATGACCTCATTATGAGGTCGTGGGTTTCGTGCATATGACTCAGTCGAGTCATAAGACTTGTTTATTGCATTATGATTGGTTTATGAGTTTTGCACATGACCTCACTATGAGGTCATAGGTTTTGAGCATGTGATCACTTTGGTCATATGACTAGTTTGTTATGATTTGGTTTCGCACATGTGACCACTTTAGGTCACATGACTAAAGGCGGAAAGAACACTATATAAGGAGGCTGAAGTGGCCGAGGAGGATAGGTTCTTCACGCTTTGTTCTAAGTACTTTTCCTACTTATTACTTTAACGAATATAAAATACCTTACAATCTTTATCCTTATTGCAACGTTATCGTTACGCCAAGGAGGGTGCGTTACGAAGAAGAGTTAGAGAAAGCTTACGATAGGCGTTTCCGGTAGAAGACAAGGGTCTTGTACTATCGGCAACGTAGGCAAAGGCCTAGGGCTATCAAAAGACAAAGAAAGAAGCAGACACGAAGAGAAGTATCGTTCCCCGTCGCCAAGCACTAACTATCCAGAGAGGGATCGTTACATTACAAAGCGTCACCTAGTGCGACGCCAAATGATACAAGACGGCATCCTTTAACCCAGACAGGGAAGGAGATATTGACATCAACAATCAAAATCTTAATCTAGGAGGATTCAGCGACGCTCTAGATCACGTCTCAGCAGAACCCTCAAGAGCAGCAAGCCCAGTAACCCCAGAGAAAGGATCACCAGTCGATAGCTCTCCTACTGGAACTCCACGACCCGAGAGAATGTCAGGATCCGCAATACCTGGGCCACCGGCCCCAGCCGCTCCGGCACCAGGAACCAGCATACTTGGAATGACTGAAAATCAGTTTCAGGCATTTCTTGCAGCCACGCGAAATACAGGGCAAGGAAATGTCCAACGTCCAAAAGCAAAGGAGCCCGACACATATGAAGGGGCCGAAGATAAGCTACGAATATTCTTAGCATAATGCGAGGGATATTTTGCCGTTAAGGGATACGGAGATCACTATGATGAAATTAAGATTCCATATGTGGAATCCCTACTCAGAGGACTCACAGGACAATGGATCATGCCCTTTCAAGATGGAAGGAAGCAGAGGGAATAGGTCACATACGAAGAGTTCAAGGCGACACTCTTTGAACAATTTGGAGATCCTAACGCCAAAGAAACAGCAAGACGAAAGCTAGAAAAACTCCAGCAAGGAAAGCAAACGTTCTCAGCATATTGGAACGAATGTCGACTGTTGGAATACGAGGCCGAGTTTGATGATACGACTCTCTACATCATCCTCCTGAGAAACTGCAGTGAGAGACTCTGAGAGGCATGGGGAATCTCTGACCTGCGCTATACGACAGCCGAACGATTTGCAAGATGGGTAATCGATAAAGAAAGCAAATTAAACATGGTTCGGAGCAACTCGGAAAACACTATAGTACATAGAGTGGTCCAATCATCTAGGAATGTGGACGGGACCTTCAAACCGCAAGCACCTCGAGGAGAAAGTCGAGCATTACCACCAGGCGAACCAATGAAATTAGACAAGTCAAGAGCAGGGCCTGCTCTGAATCTGTCTAAGGAAGAATACGTCAGAAGGATGAATGGGAAACTATGCCTAAGGTGTGAAAAAGCAGGGCATCGGATACGAGAATGCAGAAGCCGACCGGACAACGGATACCAGGGAAACAGAGCTGCTGGAAATAATCGTTTCCAAAATCAGAAAAGAAGCAACATCCGCGAAATGATAGCAGAGGATTCACCGGCGGAAAATGACGAGGGTCCCCAGTAAACGGTAGTCTGGGAGACCCAAGATGTGGACCTGGAAAACCCATCAAATTAGCGAACTACTACACAGCACTACACACGCAAAGAGGAGAAGAAGATGGAGATCATGTGATGATCAAAACGAAGATATACAACAGAGAAAGCGAAGAAACAACAATATATGCAATGCTCGACTCGGGGGCCACTGAAGACTTCATCGACAAAGAAATATGCGACAAATACGGCCTTCACACCAAACGAGTGAAGAAAGCAAGACAAGTCTACTTAGCGGATGGAAAACCAAGCGCTATGGGTCTGATAACCCATACGGCAACAGTACCCATGGACATTGACAGCCATAGGGAAACGGCAACCTTTCAAGTGGCAGATCTGAAGAACCATGAGATAGTCTTAGGGATGCCATGGTTACGGAAGCAGAATCCGACGATCGATTGGAACGAGAACAAGATGACCTTTACAAGCGAACTATGTATGACACAATGTCTCAACAGTTCACCTGTGGTCTACTCAATACCGATACGAGAAGCGGAAGAAGAAACTTTACATGAAAAGTTTACCGAGATGCGGCAAGACAAGAGAGTCCGGATACAAAGACTGGACCAAGAGGCAAAAGTGCCTACCAAGAGTTCCAAAGGGGCAGCAGGACACGACCTATATGCCAATAAAGGAATCAAGATACCTGCCAACGGGCAGGCAACGATAGCAACGGGAATAGCCATTGGAATCCCAGAAGGCACCTATGGACGAATAGCACCCCGCAGTGGTCTAGCAGTCAAACACCAACTCATGACCATGGCAGGAGTGATCGACGTCAACTATACCGGTGAAATCAAAGTGGTCCTGGCCAACCTAGCTCAAGAGGACTACCAAGTCCAGAAAGGGAACCGAATCGCACAGTTGATAATCGAAAAAATCAACTAAGAAGATCTGCATGAAGTAGATCAACTGGAAGAAACCATAAGAGGAAATAAGGGATTTGGAAGTACGGACCAAAACCAGCACGATACAACAAAAAGAATTGAGATCAAAGAGATCACAGCACAAGCCTTTGGAGGATATTATCAAAGAGGAGATACAACAGGAATTCTCAAATGGACATACAAAGAGGAAAAAGCGGTTCTAGCAAAAATCAACACCAGCACAGAGCTAGCAATCCAGGACAAGAAATACCAAAGCAAAAAAGGATGGAAAGAATTGGTTCCAAAAGAATATCACCAATTCACAAATCTATTCCAAGAAGAGGAAGCTACGGAGCTACCACCTCGAAGACCAGGAATTGACCACGAAATTCAGCAGGACAAGGACGAAAAAACGGGGAAGACAAAAGAGATTCCCTATAAGAAGTTATACCCCCTAGGGGAGGCAGAGCTCAAAGA